GCAGCAGCAGCATTGGCTGCAGTGTCCACTCCATAGAATCATAGCACACTAGAACTGGAAGGGAGCTCGAGAGGTCATCGAGTCCAGCCCCCCTGCCCTCACGGCAGGACCAAGCACCATCCAGACCATCCCTGAGAGATGTCTATCTAACCTACTCTTAAATATCTCCAGTGATGGAGATTTCAACTCCGCCAGGTGAATTTATTCCAGTGTTTAACCACCCTGACAGGTAGGAAGTTTTTCCTCGTGTCCAACCTAAACCTCCCTTGCTGCAGTTTAAGCCCATTGCTTCTTGTCCTGTCCTCAGAGGCTGAGGAGAACAATTTTTCTCCCTCTTCCTTATGACACCATTTTAGATACCTGAAAACTGCTAATATGTCCCCTCTCGGTCTTCTCCTTTCCAAACTAAATAAATCCAGTTCTTTCAGTCTTCCTTCATAGGTCATGTTCTCTAGATCTTCAGTCATTTTTGTGTTCCCTACTGTGTATCAGGGGAGATTGAAGTGTTCTCCTACAGGTTTTTGTGTATTGCTATTCCTGATATCTGATTTGTGTCCCTTTATTCTTTTACGTAGGGACTGTCCAGTTTGGCCGATGTATAGAGCAGAGGGGCATTGTTGGCACATGGTGGCGTATATTACAGTGGTAGATGTGCAGGTGAATGAGCCCGTGACGGTGTGGCTGATGTGGTTAGGTCCTGTGATGGTGTTGCTGGTGTAGATATGTGGGCAGAGTTGGCACCGAGGTTTGTTGCAAGGATTGGTTCCTGAGTTAGTTACTGTGGTACGGTTTATAGTTGCTGGTGAGAATTTGCTTCAGGTTGGCGGGCTGTCTGTAGGCGAGGACTGGCCTGCCTCCCATGGTCTGTGAGAGTGAGCGATCGTTGTCCAGAATGGGTCACAGATCACTGATGATGCGTTGGAGAGGTTTTAGCTGGGGACTTTAGGTGATGGCCAGTGGTGTTCTGTTATTTTCTCTGTTGGGCCTGTCTTGTAGCAGGAGGCTTCTGGGTACACATCTGGATCTGTCAATCTGTCCCCCCCCCCCCACACACACACTTCCTCAGGCAGTTATTGTAGTTTTAAGAATGCTTGGTGAAGATCTTGTAGGTGTTTGTCTCTGTCTACGGGGTTGGAGTAAATGCGGTTGTACCTTAGTGCTTGGCTATAGACAATGGATCATGTGGTGTGTCAGGATGGAAGCTGGAGGCATGTAGATAAGCATAGCGGTCAGTAGGTTTTTGGTAGAAGTTGGTGTTTATGTGACCGTCACTTATTTGCACTGTAGTGTCCAGGAATTGGATCTCTTGTGTAGACTGGTCCAGGCTATGTAGATTAGGCTGATCAACAGAGGGAAATGAAGCCGTGATTTAAATAATCACGGCTTCATTTAAATTTAAATGGCTGCCGCGCTGAGACGACAAACAGCTGATCAGCTGTTTGTCGGCTCAGTGTGCTAGTCTGGATGCTCCCGCACCGACCTGAAAGTCCTTTATCGACCTCCCCGTTATGCCTCGCAGGATGAGGTTTACTGGGGAGGTCAATAAAGGGCTTTCATGTCGGCAGGGGTGCGTCCAGACTGCCCCGATGTGCCACCACACAAACAGCTGATCGGCAGAGCGGGGCAGCCATTTAAATTTAAATGAAACCGTGATTATTTAAATCGTGGCTTCATTTCCCTTTGCTGAACAAACAAATCTACATGGCTCCGTCAACGGAGCCACGTAGTCTAGACGTATCCTTGGTGTTCACACCTCTACATCAGCTGCTAAAAGTGGGCCTCATCCTCCCTGACTGATTTGTCCTCATTATCTCTAGCCTTACTCTTGATTGGTACTCCCTTCTTTTCATATGCCTGTATATTTACAGCTGCCTCTGTAATTTCCACTACATGCATCTGACGAAGTGGGTTTTTGCCCACGAAAGCTTACGCTCCAATGAATCTGTAAGTCTCCAGGGTGCCACAGGACTTTTTGTTGTTTATGCAGATTCAGACTAACACGGCTACCCCTCTAAAACTTGCCAAAATGATCAGCAGGGTTAATACAACATGAGAATGTTGTGCTACCTTCAGAAGAGCTGTGATGCTAGGAGACCATTTTTTAAAAGCAATACACCAATGCAAACTAAATAACATCATAAGCAATGGTCATTTTGACCTTACTTTTGCATGATTTAACTGGGCCTTTTTATTATACTTTTACAAATACATATTTGAATTGTTATTACACAAATACACCTATTGCCTAAATTAAACACAATTGTGCAATTAGAGGCAAAATATCTCCTGGCGCTCTCTTTGCGTCATGGGCTTAAGTGACTTTTGCTGGAGTTTGCTGGTGACGCATCCATTTGTTTTGCCCACATTTTTTATGTGTTCATCGTTTTGCTAATTTATGGACCCCCTTTTTGAGTGTGCCTTACTAATTTCTATTTGTAGTAATGTTTATTCATACCTTATAAAAACACCCAAGACAATTGCTACTTTTTTCCTTCCCGCCCCCACACCTTTTTGTGTTATGTAACAGTATTTTACCCTGTTTACATTATAAGGTGTGGTTTGATTTTGATTAAACTGATTTGTTTATTTTGAAATTTGTTCTTTTACTATAGTAATTCTATGATCTAATAATAAGAATAGGCGATTTCAAAACTATCCCTATTGTGACTGGGTAACTCACTTCAGGTCAGGATGCAGGAAAAAAAATCTTGACACCTCAAGTGATTGCTTCTTGGAACAGTCGGTCCAATTACCCCCGCAAGAAAAGTGTCACCGTGACTGAACAATGACAGGCAAAATACATTGTTTACAAAGTGGACATTGCACCCTAGTATGGAAAATAGAGAGGACTGTAAACTCTGGGAAAACAAGTCTAAAAATGGAATTTAGGACACAAAGAATGTGACAAACAACTAGTCGAAGACTCTACAATTAATAGCAAAAATTGCTTCATGTACATCAGAATCAGAGAGCCTGCTAAGTATCACGTGGGAAAACTTGCTGATTGGGTTGCTAAAGGAGCACTCAAAGATGATAAGGTCATTGCAGAGAAACTAACAAATTCTTTGCTCTGCTCTTCTCTGCTGAAGATGGGAGGGAGATTCCCAAGCCGGAGCCACGTTTTTTAGGTGACAGATCTGAGGAACCATCCCAGATTGAGGTGTCATAAGGGCACCTGTTAGAACAAATGGATAAACTGAACAGTAACAAGTGACCAGGAGCAGATGCATTCCCCCAAGAGTTCTGAACGAACTGACAAGTGAGATTGCAAAACTACTAACTGTGGTTTGTAACTTAACCTTTCAATCAGCTGCTCTACCAAATGCTGATAAGCCTGAGGTCAGTATAGGGCACAAGCTCTGAAACCATAGTAAAGAAAAATATTGCCAGACACACTGATGAGTATAATTTGTTGGGGAGGAGTCAATGCAGTTTTATTTTAAAGGATATCATGCCTCAGCAATTTGTTAGATTTCTCTGAGGGGTCAACAAGCATGTGGACAAGCTAGAGCATCTATAGATTTCAGACAGCCTTTGACCCCGATCAAAGGCTAAATCAAAATAAATGGCACTGGATAAAAGGGAAGGTCCTCGCATGGATTCAAAGGGTAGGAATAAATGGTCAGGTTTCAGAGTGGAGAGAGGTAACTAGCGGTGTCCCCAGGGGTCCATACGGGGACTGATCCTACTCTACATAGTCATAAATGTTCTGGAAAAAGGGGTGAGCAGTGAGGTGGCAGAATGTACAGATGATACCAAACCGCTCATGATAATCCCAGTAAATAAATGAATCCCAGGCAGGCTGCACATTGTTATGAAAGGATCTTATGTACATGAGTGACTGGGCTACAAAATGGCAGATGAAGTTGAAAGCTGCGAAAGGCAAAGTAACGCCCATTGGGAAATACAACCCCAACGATCTGCAGAAAGTGAGGGTAGCGAATTGTCTTCGGGGCTTCCCTGCAGAGCAGGTTTCTCTGAACCTTCAGCTTGGGCAGCTGCAGCCCCTTCTCCGCTCCTCAGACACGTCTTCTTCCAGCCTTGGCTGTCCCTAGACCAGTTTCTCAGAACGGCTCCGTCCCACTTCCCCACTTCCGGCGCCCGCAAATTCAAACCTGCCGAGCAAGAGTTTGAATCACTTCTCCTCCCACCAGGGCCCATTCTGACCCTTACGGCAGTGTTGTCTTCAAGTCATCATTGTCAAGTCCAAGTCGAGTCTCAAGTCACTACAGTTCAAGTCTCAAATCGAGTCTTGCGCCACCTAAAGTCACTTTTGAGTCAAGTCCCAAGTCGAGTCTCAAGTCTTAATTTAAAAAATGTCTAGTCACTTTTGTGCAAGCCATCAGTATCGGCATTTTTGGACAATTTTTTCACTAAGTCAATTTGACAAAATTAGCAAGTCTCAAGTCGAGTCTCAAGTCACAAACAATGAACCCGAGTCGAGTCTCAAGTTGAGTCACCTCGGCGATTTAAGTCGGACTTGAGTTCAAGTCGTGGGACTTGAGTCAACAACTCTGACTTACGGTGATCTGTACACACTCTCAAGTCAATACGTCCCTGCTTCATGAGAAGAGCTTTGGGTCTCAACCCCTCGACTGCCTAAGGCTCTACTCTGGATGCTGTTGAACAGCCTCTGTGACAGCCAATGGCCTGGAAAGTATTTCATCCCCTCCTGGAGTCGGAATGCCTCACGCTGGTTCTTTCTGCATGTACAATCAAAATGGCAGTCAGTTTCCCACTCCACAGTCTGTAGGAATTAGGGAGCTCCAGAAATTAGGGAATTGGGATTAGCAGGGTCAATTTTTCATTGTTCTTTTCTCTAACTAACAAAAATGTCATTTTCTGTGTGTGAAGAGCGACCATGAGAAAACAGCCTCCAGTAGAGTGTGTCGTGTCTCACGTACACATTTTCTCTCCTTGCAGGCACTTGCACTGTGGCCATCACCCTAGAGCCTGGGCACATAAAGGAAGTCAGCGGAAGACACCATTCTGCCTTGAATTGGACTTCTCCCTACTCCATGTCAAATTCCAACACAACTGTCTTCACTAACGGAATTCCTGGCCTGGAGGCGGCTCATGTCTGGATCTCCATCCCCTTCTGCATCATGTACATCATAGCCCTCTTGGGGAACTTTGCCATCCTGTTCATTGTGAAGACAGAGCCAAGCCTCCACGAGCCCATGTACTATTTCCTCTGCCTGCTGGCCGTCACCGACCTGGTGTTGTGTACATCCATCCTGCCCAAAATGCTGGGGATCTTTTATTTCAATTCAAGGGAGATTGATTTCAATTCCTGCTTCACCCAGATGTTCTTTGTTCATGGCTTCTCAGTGATTGACTCTGGGATCTTCGTGGCTATGGCTGTGGATCGCTATGTGGCCATATCCCATCCCTTGAGATATTCCACCATCATGACAAACTCTGTTGTGGCCATCAGTGCCCTGACGGTTGTACTGCGCGGCATCATACTTATACTTCCCTTGGTCCTTGTGGCAAAGCAGTGGCCGTATTGCAGAACCAACATCATCCCCCACACACAGTGTGGGCACATGGGTGTGGTGAGTCAGGCTTGCGGTGACACCCGCCTCAGTAGTCACTATGGCCTTTTTATATTAATCTTGGTGCATGGAGTGGATGTGTTTTTTATCACTGTGTCCTATGGCCAGATCCTCAGGGCCATCTTCCGCCTCCCCACAAAGGACAACCGGATCAAGACTTTTGGCACCTGTGGCTCCCACCTCTGTGCAATGGTAATCTTTTACATCCCAGGCCTCCTCTCCTCTCTCATATTCCGTTATATCCAGAAGGTGCCTCAGTATTTCAATGTTCTCATGTCCAACCTGTGCTTCTTGGTGCCCCCCATGCTCAACCCCATCATCTATGGGGTGAAGACCAAACAGATCCAGGAGAGGCTGCTCGGGCTAGTTAAACCTAAAGGCACCTAATCTTTGGTCCTGGGGCTCTGTCTCTCCAGTGAGCTCTGTGTGGTGCCGGCTGTGGACGTGAGTCTTCCCTGCATCAGCTTCTGTCCAGTCACAGAGACATTAAACCCTGTTGGTGCTCTCACTGTTGTGTGTTAGAGCAAGACACTGGTCTGGGGACAGGGAGTCATGTCACAGGGATTTCAACAACTTTCACCCCACCACCAATCTGAGCCTGGACCAGTCCACACAGGAGAGCCACTTCCTGGACACTGCAGAACAATTCTTACTTGCATGCCTCTAGCTTTCATCCAAGACATATCATGTGATCCATTGTTTATAGCAAGGCCCTTTAGATACAACAAGATTTTCTACAATGCCCCCCCTCCGCCCTGACAGAGACAAACTTCTATAAGATCTTTATCACGCATCCTACAACTGAAATGCTTACGTGGGGAAGTGAGGAAATGGATGGACAGGGTCAGACGAGTACCCAGAAGTCAACTACTTCAAGACAGGCTCAACAAGAAATAAACAGAACACCACTGATCAGCACCTACGGCCTGCCGCTTACACCCCTCCAGTGCATCATCAACAATCTACAACCTCACCTGGAAAATGATCCCTCACTCACAGAGGCTATGGGGAGCAGGCCAGTCCCCACCAATACACAGCCTCCAACCTGAAGCAAATACTAACTAGCAGCCACACACCAATTACACTCACCGTGTACGTCTACACTAGCCCCCTACATCGATTGAGAGAGGCTAATAAGGGTGACTGAAATTGCAAATCAAGCCCGGGATTTAAATATCCTTGACTTCATTAGCATGTTCCCATCCGGTCATCATTTTAGGAATTGACTAGCCCGAAGTAACTGCTCGTGTCTACACACGGCAATGAAATGGGATTCCGAAGTAAAAAGAAACGCGAAAAACAAGCGGCAGTGGATCCGCAAGTCGGAGGCCTGCAGGATCCATAGAGACAGACCTTCCAGGACACAAGAATCAAATCATCACATTTAAATCAGTGATTTTTATTACACAACAAAAGATAAACTTGCTGAAGCATACTTGGTTGCTAGCTGTTAAAGAGCAATTAAGGAAAATAAATTAAAAGCAAGAGAAAATCTTTAGGAATGATGCTTAGATGGTAATTGGGAGCGAGGGGAGGCATAGACTTACACACAGCAGTTCCAACCAAACCACAAAATAAAGAAAAATTACCCTGAAAGTGACTGGATTCACTTTTTACTTTTTACTTTTAATTTTCCCTTTGTTCATTCCACTCCCATGCCCCAAATTCCTCGGAGGCGTGGCAGTCCTGCCTGGGTTTAAATCATTCTGGCTGTGTCTAAGCTACATGGCTCTGTCGATGGAGCCATGTAGATTAGGCTGATCGGCAAAGGGAAATGAAGCCGCGATTTAAATAATTGCCGCTTCATTTAAATTTACATGGCTGCCGCGCTGAGCCGACAAACAGCTGATCAGCTGTTTGTCAGCTCAGCGCGGCAGCCATGTAAATTTAAATCAAGCCGTGATTATTTAAATTATTTAAATCGCGGCTTCATTTCCCTTTGCTGAACAAACAAATCTACATGGCTCCGTCGACGGAGCCATGTAGATTAGGCTGATCGGCAAAGGGAAATGAAGCCGCGATTTAAATAATTGCCGCTTCATTTAAATTTACATGGCTGCCGCGCTGAGCCGACAAACAGCTGATCAGCTGTTTGTCAGCTCAGCGCGGCAGCCATGTAAATTTAAATCAAGCCGTGATTATTTAAATTATTTAAATCGCGGCTTCATTTCCCTTTGCTGAACAAACAAATCTACATGGCTCCGGCGACCGAGCCATGTAGTTTAGACGTACCCTCTGTGTCTCCACTCCAGGTTTCTCTCTCCCACCCAAAGCAAGCAGGCCGGGAACCTAGATCCAATTCAAATATTAACCCTCTATCTCGATTGGTTCTCCCTGCCCCCTGGCCAACACCTTTGCTAGCTACCTGAGTTTAACCCCTCAGTCACCAGTGCTTGTCAGCACTCCTCCCATCCATTACAGAGTCTTACCCATGAAAGCTCATAAAGAGAGCATGTCAGTGGGGTGTGTTTTCATCTGGGAGGCCTCGAGGGAGAATTTCAGCCAAGGCCACCAGTGATACTCTCCCTGGGCCTCCCCACAAGGGACCTCTGCATTGCCCCGGTGTGTCTTTCCTACCCCACTCCTTTCTTCCCCTGCCCTCCCTTCTCACCTTCCACCGCTCCCCTGAAGACCTAATCAAGTAGCCATTTTTGTTTATGTAACCCCCAAGGAGATGACTTGGATTCCCGGGGCCTTGTCTGCTGGCAGCTCAGGGAGAGGCTCTGAGTTTGCCTTGGCTCCCCCTCCCTACCAGGGCCAGAGTCTGCCCGGCAACCCATGGGGAGTGAGATGCCCCCCCCAGAGGGAAGGGGAGACCATTGTTGGGAGGAGTCTGGAGCCAGCCAGGGAAAGGGGAGGGCTGGCTGTGTGGGAGCTAGTAAGCCCCAGGCCTGCATGCAGGGTTCCCCCTGAGAACTAGCCTCTAGGGACCTGAAGGCAGGATCCCTCAGCTGGGTTTATGTCTCCACTGTTGATTCCCAGTTGTGGAGTTTGCTGGGAGGCTTCCCCAGCCAGGCGGAGTTGGCTCTCCAGCTCCCTGGGTGAGAGAGTCACTGCATGGTCAGCTGGGCTCTAGCAGCAAGTTCAGGGCTGCTGCCTGCTGTGTGGGTCTGGAGGCTGGCCTGGGAGGCTATAGTTTTGAATTTTGGTGCAGTTGTGTGGTCTGCATCTGCTGGCCTGGGAGGCGATAGTTTTGAATTTTGGTGCAGTTGTGTGGTCTGCATCTTGAGCCCTGCACCCCTTCGCGGTGAGGGGAAATTCTGGGACCGAAGCAGCCTGGTTCCTGCTTGAAGAGGACCCCTGTGAGAAGAGAGCAGCCCCTTTGTGGAGACTGAGTCATCTCTCAACCTGAGGCTCATTCATGGAGTGTGTGAGTGCACCAATTTTTAGTTAGTAAGTCAGGGAATTTGTTTGGGGATTTTATTACCTGCAGCCTATTAAACTGTGGAGGGATTTGCTGCCTTCTCCCATTTGTGAGTCCTTTGGGCTGTACTGGACCTAGTCAGCCCCACTGCTAAACCTCTGCAGAGAAGGATTGTGTGGTCAACAGTCATCAAGGGCCCCAACAAAGTACGCGTACCAACGGGACACTAACTTCACAGTTGCAGGGCACCGGTGACCCTAAAAATAATGTTTTACCCTGTTCTGTTATAATTGTCTCCTGTTTAATATAATTGTGTTTATTATAGTGTATGTGTTTGTGTTATTTTCTGGGAGTCTCCAACTATCTGGCGAATACGTGGGGATTATCCTGGGCTAGAATTTTCCTCCCAAGCTGCCCTGGCAACCCTGCTAGGAAGGAGTGAGGGGGGTGGAGGCACCGCCAAGTACATCAATCAGAAAGAATAAAATTGAGTAGGTGGCGGGATCCAGAAGAACCCAGACCTATCCATCCAAACCTGAAAGGAGATTGGCTCTAAAAGAAGGTAACCAGGTGGAGAGGGGGCGCTACATTTAAAACAGCCATTTTAATTTGGGGGGGATACACAACAGGAGAGGGACTGGGGAGAGAACTTGGGAGGGGGAGAAAGGGAGAGACGGGCTCAGGGATAGGGCTGGGATTGGAACCTGCCTTGGATACCTCTGGAGGCTTCGGCTTCCTGGGAGGTCCCACCGGCATGTGTTCAGGTTCTGTGGTGACTGGGGGGACTAGGAGGAGAAGCCAGGGGGCAGGGGAGGGAGGGGAGTTGAAGGGCAGGGAGTCTGGGGGTTGGGTACAGGGAGTTAGGCAGGAAGTTGGGGAGGTGGCTGATGGTCCGCTCCATACACCTGGCCACGCGCTCCATGACTGCTGTTATTGAGGAGCACATGGCCTCTTGCTGGCATGACAGCTGCTCCCATGTGGTCTCCGTGAGCTCCCGGTCAGCCTGGCGCTTCTTGTCACAGCTCCAGATGAGGAACTCAGGGCCGGAACTCAGGGCTGGCCAGCTGCTCCCGCAGCAGGTCCTCCCGTGCTCCTTCCGCCTGCAGGTCACGCAGAGTCGTGCTGATGGCGTCGGGGGCGCCGGACGCACCATGCTCACAGCTGAGAAAACAAGGGACAAGGGCTACAGCACCGGGGCTCATTTACTGGGCAGTAACTTGCCAGCACAGACTTGGCCCCAGACAAGACATCAGCCAGCGCACCCGGGAGCGTACTCCCTGGTCCATCAACTGCTGCTCCCCCACGACAGCCTGGAAGCCCGGCTGGGCAATGGGAGCCTTTAGCAGACTGACTGACAGGAGCCGGGCAACAGGAGCCTTGAGGAAATGAGCCCCCCCTCCCCCCCTGCCGAAACCTGCCCACTGCTCTGAGCTTGGCCCCGGCTGGAGAATGGTCCCCCTCCTGCTCCCTCTGCCCCTGTCTTGGATCCGTTACCCCAACGCACATGCAGAAGCCCCACAACTCAGTGAGCCAGGGATGAAGCACGAGCTCCTCCCGGTGCCATGAGGGTGGGAAGGATACAGGCACCAAACCAGAATGAGGAACCAGAGGTCATCTCCCGCCCCCCGCTCCTCCTGAGCCGAGGCAGGGCACATGGCACATCTTGCTGGGATGGGATGGGCACAGGGTATTGGGTGACAGGAACAGCCAGGGTGGGGGAGGTGAGGGGTTTTCTGCCAGTGCTCACTGGGGTGGGGCTGGATGGGTGGGCCTGCAGCGTCTGCAGCCTGGAGACTGGCCAGGATCCTGACACTTATTCTTAGCTCCTAGACGTGCTCATTCAGCCCAGGGGACAGGACGGAGTTAAAGTTCCTGCTGGGAGCTTTGTGAAGGGCCGTGTGTCCATGTGACCCATAGACCCACATCTGCATGGCATGAAGAGACGCCCCTGGGGGGTGAGTTACTGCAGGGCTGCCCCAGGGACCCACCCAGCCCCTGTCCCTGTCTCCCTGGCTGGTCCAGG